GGCGTGGTCTGTGGTGGTGGTTGTGGTGGTTCGTGTGGCGATCGTGGTTAATTGTGGGGGCACAGTCGAAGACTAGGGTTACAGTAACCCCATTCGACGAAGAAGAAAGGGTCCAGACCCAAAAAAAGGTCCAGACCCGGTTTAGCTCCAACAGATTTAAATTGGTTTAGCCTAGCCCAATTCGATTGGGTCCAGCCCACTTCGGTCCAACCCGATTTAGCCCCAACCAGTCCGGTTTAGCTCCAACCAGTCTGGTTCAGACCGGTTTTACTCCGGTTCAGCGGTCCAGAGGGCTAAACCAGTCCGGTTCAGGCTTCCAGTAGCATAAGCAAGGCCGGTTCAATGATCTAGAGGACTAAACTAGTCCGGTTCAGGCTTCCAGTGTCCTTAGCAAGGCCGGTTCAGTGGTCCAAGCCGGTTTTTCAGTCTGGTCCAGGGCTCCCGCAACCTTAACAGGCTCGGTTCAGCGGTTCAGGCCGGTTTTCCAGACTGGTTAAGTATTCCAGCAGCCTTAACAGGCCTGGTTCAGCAGTCTAGCATCCTCTTTTTCTTCTGGTTCGGCATTGCAACACTTCTTGTTTGCTATTTGTTGTACTGTTATGGAATCCAAGCAAGACACTAGATTGGTTACTATTACTCGAGAGGAGTATGCCCAGTTCCTATCTCAGCAACAGGCTGTTCCATCTTCCTCCACTGCTACTTTTGCTCAGTCAGGTATTACTTCCACTTATTTATTGTCCTCCAATCGCAATCGCTAGATCATAGACTCTGGCGCTTCTGATCACATGACTGGTGCGTCCGATATTTTTTCTACTTATCAGTTTGTTCATTTCACATGTAGTGTTACTCTTGCTAATGACACTTGTTCTAAAGTTTCAGATTTGGGGCCTACTAACTTGAGTCCTGATATATCCCTATCTTTCATATTATTTGTTCCTCAGTTTTCTTTTAATTTATTTTTCATTAGCAAGATTACCCGTTCTCTCAATTGTTCAGTAACCTTTTATTCTTCTTGTTGTGTCTTTCAGGATCTTAAGACGAAGAGGAAGATTGGTACGGGGCATGAAACTGGTGGCCTATATTACTTTGATGTTGATTCACCTACTCGAGCTCTACAGACCTCGTTGTCTCCTTTTCAGTAACATTGTCGTCTTGGATATCCCTCTCTCTAGAATCTGAAACGCCAAGTTCTTAGTCTTAGTTCTTTGCCGTCTTTGTCTTGTGAAGCGTGTCAACTTAGTAAGCATCACCGTGTGTCATTTCAGCCTCGAGTCAATAATCGTGTGTCTAGTCCATTTGAGTTGGTACATTCTGATGTATGGGGTCCAATAAAGAATATTTCATCTAATAAATATCCTTATTTTGTGTCATTTATGGATGACTATTCTCGTGTGACTTGGTTGTTTCTGATGAAAGCTCGGTCTGAATTATTCTCTATATTTGAGACTTTTCGTAAAGAAATAAAAACTCAGTATGGTTGTCGTATCCATATTTTACGTTTTGATAATGCTCGAGAATATGAATTCGATCCTTTTTCAGCTTATCTTAATAAAGCTAACATTATTCATCAGACTTCCTGTGCTTACACATCTCCACAAAATAGTGTTGTTGAATGCAAGAACCGTCATTTGTTGGAAGTCACCCGTGTTCTATTATTTCAGATGAATATTTTCTGATATTTTTGGAGTGATACTGCTCTTACTACTTGTCACTTTATTAATCGTATGTCATCCTCTGTGTTAAATGGGCAAAGTCCAGATTCTGTCCTTTTTTCTGGTAAGCTCTTATTTTTCCTGACTCCTAAGGTTTTTAGATGTGTTTGTTATGTTCATAATTTGGGTCCTGGATTTGACAAACTTGACCCTCGAGCTACCAAATGTGTATTTCTTGGTTACTCCCACACGCAGAAGGGGTATCGTTGCTATAGTCCTTTCTGCACCGATACTTTACTAGTGCCGATGTCATGTTTGAAGAATCTATTCCATATTTTTCAGCACCTTCTCAGCCTTTGGATCTGGACTTTGGGTCATCTCTTATACTACCATCTCTTTCCTCATCTTCAGATATTTCGTTGCCCACTGTGTTACCATCTACTTTACCTCTCCATGTCTACTCTCGCCGTCTTGCCCATCGACTGAGGTGCCGGTACCATCTTCCTTGCAGCCTTTTGATCCTAGTACATCAAGTAATTTAGACTTTTTACCTATTACTCTTTGCAAAGGTACTCGTTTGTGTGTTACTAATGATCTCATTTCTCATTTATTTCATATGATGCATTATCTCCTGTTTTCTCTTGTTTTATTTCTCAATTATCTGCTATATCTATTTCTAAGCATGTATAGGATACATTACCTGATCCGGGTTGGAGGAAAGCTATGGAGGAGGAGATGGATGTCTTACATCATAATGGGACTTGGGATCTCGTTCCTTTACCTCCTGGTAAACAAACTGTTGACTGTCGTTGGGTGTATACTGTTAAATTTCATCCAGATGGTTCTGTGGAGTGTCTCAAAGCCCGGCTTGTTGCAAAGGGCTTTACTAAGACTTATAGTGTTGATTATGAGGAAATTTTTTTTCCTGTTGCCAAAATTTTCTTTGTTCGTATATTGATTTCTTTGGCTACTAATCTTGATTAACCCTTGTTTTAGTTAGACGTCAAGAATGCCTTCTTACATGGTGACTTGGTTGAAGAGGTATATATGGAGCAGCCACCTGGATTTACTGCTCAGAGGAAGTATGGTAAGAGTGTATGTCAGTTAAAGAAATCTTTGTATGGTTTGAAACAGTCACTAAGGACATGGTTTGGTAAGTTTTCAAATGCAGTTTTAGAGTTTGATCTTCTTCAATGTCAGACAGACCATTCTGTGTTTCATAGATAGACAGATGCTGGATATATCCTATTGGTGGTCTATGTAGATAATATTGTGATTACTGGAAATGATTCTGAGGGGATTGCCAAGTTAAAAACATTCTTACAGGATCGATTTCATACTAAGAATTTGGAAAAACTTAGGTATTTTTTGGATATTGAGGTGGCTTGATCTAAATAGGGTATTTGTTTATCCCAGAGGAAATATGTACTTGACATGCTTGAGGAAGCAGTTTGCTCGGTGGCAGACCTATTGATGTTCCTATGGATTCGAATCAGAAACTTTTGATGGATGATAGTGTACTATTTGAGAATCTAGGTCTGTATCGCAGATTGGTTGGGGAAACTCAATTATCTCACTATTACCCGACCGGATATTTCCTATGTAGTCAGTATAGTAAGTCAATTCATGGGGTGTCCTAGAGTACCATATTGGGATGCAGTTACTCGTATTCTGCGATATCTCGAACGTGCTCTTGGACTTGGACTATTATATCGAGCTAATGGATATCTTAAAGTAGAAGGTTTCTCAGATGCTGATTAGGCTGGCTCTTCTTCTGATCGGAGATTAACCACTGGTTATTGTACTTTCTTAGGAGGTAACGTTGTCTCATAGAAAAACAAGAAATAAACCGTGGTAGCAAGATCTAGTTTTGAGGCTGAGTATATTTTCTCCAGGAAATTGGCTACTACACTTCCTCCAGGAAATTGGGTTTCCAGTTCAACTTCCTTTACAGTTGTTCTGTGACAACCAGACAGCTATCCATATCGTTGTCAATCCTGTGTTTCACAAGAAAACCAAGCATATTGAGGTTGATTGTCACTTTATTCGGAACAAGATAATAGCTGGGGAGATTACAACTCTATTTGTGAAATCTGAAGATCAGCTTGTAGATATGTTTACCAAAGCATTGAGCCGTACACGCCTTATAGCTATTTGTTCCAAGCTTGGATTATATGATATATATAGTCCAGCTTGAGGGGGAGTGTTAAGAATAGTAGGGTAGTATGTGTAAATTGTTAATAGTAAGAGGATGTATATGTAATTCTTATTATTGTAGGTTAACTATAAATATAAGTGATGTATAAGAGGTAGGTTAAGTTTTAACCTCTCTCTGTTTTCTCTAATATTGTGTTAATTCTCCACACTTAACAAGCTTAAATGGCACTACCACTGGCCAATATACAGGCGACTATTGCCTCTTCTTCCTACCAAGTGTCAGTTAACTTATGGAAATAAAGGTGTTCCTGTAGAAATTGCATAGCATCTTTAGCTACAAAATGGAGTTTGTGGAAGAGGAATTTGGTGCAGTCCCCTATTTGCCCAAGTTGTGGAGAAGAGGAGGAAACTTTACAACATCTATTTTCTTGCCCTGTCCATGTACTGCCAATGTCTGGAAAAGTTCACCATTTTGGGAATTTATATAGATAGCTAGAAACTAACAAGGATTAGAGAATGGATCCTGCAAGTGTTGCAACCTACAAGTATGGAAGGAGGTATAATGGTGCACTAAATGGTACTTATATGTACTTTGGTACATATGGAAAGCCAGAAACTTTTGGACGTATCATCAAAAACAGCCTTTGTAGAGAAGTGTGGAAAATCAAGCAATAAAGCAGTTGCAGAAACTAAACAGCATGATAACAAAGGCTCAAAAGGAGTAAGAAAGGGACAAATAGAGGTCACATTGATACCACCACCAGAGGATTGAGCAAATATATAACAGTGATGGGGCCTTCCAGGAGGAGCATATGGCATAGAAATCAGGGATCACACTGACCTCATGACTGGTTATTCAGGCGTAATTACTGAGGACTGGGCAGTTAGCCAAATATGTCATGGTGCAAAAAAGAGAGGGTTTCCCAATAATCATTATCAATTCTGACTCAAGGGCCCTAGTTGAATCTCTAAAGGGTATGCGGTACAGATCTCATAATGCTGGCCCCACAAATGTTCGATGAAAGTCCTAAGCCAGCGGCTGTTTAGTATGCCTAAAATCATTGAAATGAAACTTTCCAGCAGGTGTTCGATGAAATGTTCAAGACATGAATTATGATCAAGAGCCACGTCACATCACGGGTTCAACAAAATGTCAATGATAATTTAAAGATCCAAATAGTAAAGCATTGTTTACCTTCTCCCAATCAAGCTGGCACAATTGGATTGCAACCAGCCAAAGCATCCGAAACCACTACGAAATTGAAGACATCAAAAAATAACCAATCAAAGCCGATAAAGCAAAACAATCTCAGACAAACAAATCGAAAACAAGATGGTTCCAATGTGCACCATCTAGAAAATACTTATGAGTTATGAAGACATTCTATAGCGAAAGATTCTTGAAGATAATAAGATTGCTCAACACTTATTCCTATCTTGAATAACTCGAGGATGAGTTTTCTCCAATAAGAGGAATTTGATGTGATATGTTTTTGAAAAGGAAAAGGATGATAGCAGTAGAAGTTGGTTAGAACCTGATAAGTTCAAATGAGATCAAGATATGAACCTTTTTTTTTTTTGAACAATAGCAAGATATGACCTGAAACAACCTGGACTGCAACTAAAACTAACCTAAAGGGACAGAAAATACCAAACTTTACACCTGGATCTGACTTTCAGCAGTTTAGGAAGATGAATGATGCAAAATGCAGCTATTAGTGATTCGACGCAGCCTGAAACTGAGACTTCTAAATGCAGAACAGTGAATCAAATATGACCATGGCAGTGCAAGGCGTGTAACAATTAGATTACTAGACCTCGAACAACTAATATGGTCTAAAATAAAAAGTGCACTCTTTTAGAAATTTAATCAAACAGTGAGAATGCATACAAAATTGCAGGAAATTTCATTAGACAACTACAAACAAAGCTCTGATACCAAACTGATGTAACCTGGCTCTTTAATTATTTTATCGTACATACGCATGCAAACGAAAGGCTGAAATTCATAAACCAATAAACACTCTGCAGCTGATTTCTACCATTAATAGATATATGTAATGAATATATGTGAAAATAAGTGATACAAGAGGTCTCTAACAAAACATTCACCGACCACCTGTCGGTCAGCCTTCTTTCAGTCGATTCTAGGCATACTAAACCGTCTCTAGGTCAGGACTTTCATCGAACACTTCATGGGCATAAATTTTGAAGCTTTGTATTGTTAGGATTGGGAAAACCCTAGAACGATGCCCAAAAAAAACCTCATCCCAACTATTTGGGGGTGGGGTTCGACAATTAACCGATTAAAGATTGGCAATCCACATAGTAAAACATAGTTTACCTTCTCCCGATGAAGCTGGGAGAACAAATTGAATGTGTCCCTTTCCGCTCGATTTCAGCGTTTTTCTTCAGATCATCAGGGAACAAGCAACGGATGAACCTTCCCTCGAAGTAAATACTCAAAATTCCAACGGAGATGGACATTGGTAGACCTGTCGTGGTACCGGCTAACCTCAACCAATTCGCTTTTGGAAATGGTTTTCTCTGAGAAACCGGCAAGTGTGGTATTATTCGCAGCATTAATCAACAGTTCCCGACCTTCAATCTGGATGTTGAAGAACACAAACTCTTCCATTTAAGATTGGAGACAATGAATAGAACTGAATTGAGAACAACTCCAGGCAGTTGCAAAAAATGGGGTGTCAAATGCAATTTTGTAACTTTGAACAGCGGTTTGGCGGTTGGCACCCTGAAACAGTATTGCTGTTGATGGATGTTATTTTTAATATTTTTTATTAAATTTGACGGTTATATTATAATGTGTATAGTTTTTATAACTATGGCACTTTAACTGATATATTTTTATAGCAAAAAAAAATTTAAAATTTAAAATTTTACATTTAAAATTTTGTCCGCCGAATTTCAAATTTCAAATTTCAAATTTCAAATATTAACCGTTGAAATTCAAATTTGAAAATTTAACCGTCAAAATAAAAATTAAAAAAAGTATAATTCGTCTATAAATATGATAATTTTTCTCATGTTTTCATCCATCTATCTTACATTCTCTCTATAAATTCAACATATCTTTTTTTTTGATTATTTATCTTGTCATATTTTCATTCATAAAGTTATATGAATCGTTATCTTAATATTTTAGGAGAGATTCTCAATATTAAAAAAAAAGATAATGATGACTTAGATATGTTGTGTACTGCAACTAGAAGGTTAGATGAGTCTAGTCAGGGATGGATAAGAAGGCATCGTGGTTTCATCCATACCACAGAATAGTTAATCGTGGTAGAGTTGAAGGTTACGAAAGATTCTATCATGACTATTTTGCTACCCTTTGTGTATATGAAGGTTTTTTTTTGAAGGAGATTCCAAATGAGTCGTCCTCTTTTTCTCCGAATTGTAAATGAGGTTGAACAACACGATCCATATTTCATCCAAACAACAGAAGTCGTTGGAGTTCTCGGTTTGTCATCCTTTCAAAAGATAACAGTTGCTTATAGAATTTTTGCTTACGGAACACCAACAAATTCTGTGGATGAATACATCGGAATTGGAGAAAACACTGTCATACAGAGTCTGAGAAGATTTGTGAAAGTTGTTATTGCAGTGTTTGACGACCATTATCTGAGGTCACCAAACAATATCTATATTGCTAGATTGCTACAGACGAGGGAACAACGTGGTTTTTTCAACATGTTAGGGAGTATTGATTGCATGCATTGGAAGTGAAAAAATTGTCCTACCGTGTGCCAAAGTATGTATGCTGATCATTGGCATGAACCAACAATCATTTTAGAAGCTGTGACTTCTCAAAATCTTTGGATATGACATGCATTCTTTAGGCTTCCTGGTTCACTGAATGACATAAATGTTCTAGATAGGTCCCCTGTTTTTGTATTATTAGCAAATGGTTATGCTCCTCCAGTCAACTATATAATTAATGACCATGAGTATACAATGAGATATTATCTAGTTGATGATATTCATCTAAGTTGGTCGACATTTGTAAAAACAATTCCCTGTCTACAAGATTTGAAGAAAAAATATTTTGCTAAAGCACAAGAGTCGGCAAAAAAAAATGTAGAGCGAGCGTTTGGGGAACTTCAAGCCCGTTTTGCAATCGTGCGTGGACCAGCACGTTTTTGGGATGAAGAAACACTTGCAGATATTATGAAAGCATGCATAATAATGCATAATATGATCATTGAAGATGAAGGAGATATTTGTAACAATGACTTTGATAGAAGTGATGCAAATCCACCTGTAGAAGTGTCACATGCATATACACCAGAATTGGAAGACTTCATACAAACTCATTGTCAGATTAGGGACAATGTTACTCATTCTCAACTGCAGTCAGATCTTATCGAGCATTTGTGAGAATGACATGGTGACTAATAATTTTCTCAATTTCAATTTCAAGTTGTATTTTTAATTCCAATTCAATTTCATGTTATACTTTTAATTTCAATTTCAATTTCAATTTCAAGTTGTACTTTCAATTCCAATTTAAATTTCAAGTTGTATTTTCAATACATAGTTTTTCATAAATAATAGCAGCATAATAAATAATGACTAAAAATTAAAAAATAATAGCAACATAATAAATAACGACTAAAAATTAAAACCCCACTTTTTCATAATCTCTATTTTCAGGCTATTCCAATATGTTGCAAAAATTAGGTCAATGCCAGTAGTGTCAGTTTCCATGATCTTCATTTTATTCTGTCTTTCAATTTTTTGCACCTACCTTTCTTCAATTTCTAACTGTCTACGATGTTGCTTCAATGCTATCTCTTGTTGAGCATAAATTTTGTCATGTCACTCAATTTTTTGTCGTTCCACTTCCATTCTTTCATTTCAATGATGATGATCTAGTGATACTTCAACATCGGTTTGCTTCTCTTTATTTTTAAGTTGTTTCTTCGAAGCCTTGCTGTCCAATGACCTATCGAGGTTGGGAATGGACGAGGGTTCAGTGTCATCCCCTAAATTTGAAGTTGAATATCAAGATTCAACATGAGTTGATTCAATATGAGTTGATTCAGCAAGGCTACCAGTTGAATGAGTTTTTGCTCTCTTATTGCTATTGAGATTATCAGTCCATTTCCGCTTCGTTTTCAATAAATTTCAACAATGCTCGTATTGAAATGGTCTTCCAATAATCTTTGCAAACATTTCTTTGCGTCATCAACCTGAAAAACATATGAAATTATTTAGTCAATAGTTCAAATATCAAATCATAGTGGTGTCTAAATTAAAAGCTTAATCATTACATTATTTTGCTCGGTGTATCCACTTTATCCCAGCCTTTCAATTTGACTATAAAAATCGACAAAATTGTCGCATTTTGCATTTATATCAGTCCAACGGCTTTTAATAGAAGATTGTGAATGCTCTTCTTCATTGCCTCCATGAAGTTCTAAGTATTGCAATATTCTTTTCCATGAAGTACCACCTTGTTGTTCATTCCCAATAATTGCATCTTTACTCTTGTTAAGCCATGCAGACACAATTAATTTATCTTCTTCTACAAAGAAGTTCTTTGTCCTTTGCGATTTTCTCACTCTTGGAATTGCTTCACTTTGAACTGGCGCCAATACTGTGGGATTGATCTGCATAACATCATCATATAAATCAGTGTCGTTCATAAGCAAATCAGTGAAAGAACTATCAAATTGTGAATCCATAAAAAAAAATTATAATCAATTTAAAGGTAAGATAAAATAATCAATACAAAATAATTTAATGGTGTAATATGACAATACAATTACATTTAATGGTGTAATCTGACAATATAAAAAAATTTAATGGTATAATATGATAATACAAAAAAATTTAATGGTGTAATATGACAATACAATTAAATAACATGCTGTAAATATCAAAAAAATTTAATGGTGTAATATGACAAAAAAAATTAATGGTGTAATATGACAATACAAAAATATTTAATGGTATAATATGACAATACAATTAAATAACATGCTGCAATATGATAATACCAAAAAATTTAATAGTATAACATGACAATACAATTAACTTTGGGGGTACGAAGTGTCATTTGACCTAAAATAAATAGGAGCACAATCTAGAACGAGACAAACCCTTCTCTTCCCCTCCCTTTCCCCTTCGATTCTTAGATTCTACCCCCTTCCCCTTCTCCTAAACCCTAAACAAAATCACTCAAAATTAAAACACCCATAAACCTTGAAGCTCGCTTGAGATGGTAGAAGAGGGGTTTTCGATAACAGACAAGGGGTTTTCAATATCAAAGGCAAGAGATTTTCAATATTAGGGAAGTGATTTTCAGGCAAGTAGAACTCCACACCAACGATTTTTAGGCAAGTCTTCTTCCCTTTTCCTCTCTTTGTATTTTTATAAAAATTTTGGGTGGAATATAGCCATTGAGAGGAACAGTAACCACCAACGGCTATTTTACAACCTCTCAATTCTCTCTCCAAAGTTGCCAAATATACCACCCCAAAACCCTAGATGTCATTTTGTCACCTCTGATACCACCTCATTTGGAGTCAGAATTTTTGTTGTTGGGATGCCATTTTAGCGGTTATGGGGATGCCACCCCTGATGGTAACTCCCGTTGGAGCTGCTTTGAGGATTGGTTAGGGTTTGGGGCTTTTATGGCTGCGTTGATGAATTGAGGCATGTTTGGGTAATGGGTTAAAGAGGGTTAACACCCAGTTGGATAGGCTAATATGGCTATAGGTCCCAGATATCTCTTGTTTGGGAATCAAAAAATGAGGGTAGATAAAAATTTTGGGTCTATCCTAGACCCGGATGCTACAATATTTTTTAGCCTACTTACACCGGTTAAATGTAACCCTCCTCCACCCTGGGTTACAAACCTTGCCAAGAGGATAAGAGATGCAATGACATTTTTACTCCTGCATCAACAAATGTTCCTACCCTTTCTCTTCGTCTAACCATTCGTCAAAAGGGATTCGTGGTTGGGAGTGGAGAAATGCACAGGCAACAGCAACGCGCGAAGGGGAAGCTTCTGGGAGGTCTCTTGCTCTCTTTGTTCTCCGACGAAGGTCAGTGGTACGTTATGTGTTCCCCTCTCTAACGAATAGGTCTTTCTCTCTCTCTCTCTCTCTCTCTCTCTCTCTCTCTTTCTTCTTCAATTGCTTCTTCATTTTTCTGTTAGTGGTGGCAGCGGAGTGTGCAAGGGTGGGTTAGGAGTTCTAAATTGGTATTTTTTTTTATTACCTTTTTTGGTGGGGATGGGTTGACGATTGTGGTGGTTTTTGGGGAATATGGTTGTTTAGATTTTTTCTTCTTTGTTTTTGTGTTTGATGCAGCAATGGGGGTGTGGATTACTCTTAATTAGATAGATTTGAATATAAATTGGATGAATTGAATGTTGTATTAATTTAATGAATTTGAATGTTAATTTGATTAATTTAATGTTAACTAGTTGAGTTTGAATGTAATTTGATGAATTGAGTTTTAATTGGATAAATTTTAATATATATTGCATGAATTGAATATTTATTTGGTGTCAATTGGATAAAAGTGAATATTAATTATATTGAATCGAATGTTAATTTGATGAATTTAATATCAACTAGTTGAATTTGAATATTAATTTAATAAATTGAATGTTTAATAGATGAAATTGAATATTAATTTTCGGAGAGTATGAGATGAGTCATGTTTTATCATGACCGATCCTAACTTGATAAATGGGGGG